GCGCTGCGCGCGCAACATACCATTTACACTGATATTTCATGTCTCTAGTGTTCCGTAAGCTCTTTCTCAGCTAAAAAGTGTTCAATTGCCAAAAAAGTTTGGGAACTAATGACCCGTTCTATGTAAACTTTCTTATCATGAAGGTGGTTAAGGTGCTCGACTCGCAACCTATGGGTTCGAATCCCCGTTCCACCAAACATGCTTGCCCTTTCAGCAAAATGTACTTATTTGATTTCAACGCAACGGGTCTATCTGCGCCAAACTATGTATTATTTCATTTATAAGCTGGATAAAATAAATATCGAAAATCTTTTTGAAATAAGATTAAAAGTTAAACAGAATTAAAAATATATATAGCTGGTAAAAAGTTTAAATCATGATCAAACTAGACAGTGATACTATCACCAATTACAGTCCAAGGTTAATGTGAAACCACGAACTAAAATATGTCTAAAATGATGCAGCCTCTGGTTATCGTAGAGACAGCACGAGAATTAAAAATATATATAGCTGGTAAAAAGTTTAAATCATGATCAAACTAGACAGTGATACTATCACCAATTACAGTCCAAGGTTAATGTGAAACCACGAACTAAAATATGTCTAAAATGATGCAGCCTCTGGTTGTCGTAGAGACAGCACGAAAATAAAACGTGGGCAATTGAGACTTGCGTGTCCATGTCAAAAAGCCCACACAGTAGTGACTAGTTCCTTGTCAAATAAATCAGTGTGTAAGGATTGAGTGTCATAAAACCCTCACAGTTGTGGATAGTTCCCTTGTCAAAGAAATTAGTGTGTGACTTCCTCTCTCTAGACTGTGTGATTGTGAGTTTAGATTGTACTGTAATAACTGAATAGGGAGAATAATTTATATTGTCAAATTGTGTTCTAAAGTAACTGAACCAGCCTGTGTGAACTTTGACAGAAAATAGACAATTATTTAAAGCTCTGGACACAACTTCAATAACCAACGGTGTAACAAACATTTGTATATACGTTTGGCTTGTTTTAATATATTATTTTAAAACAAGTGGATTGTGTGCTGTTTGTTTATTGTTGGAATTTATCACCAACAAGTTACAGACATCTACTGTAAAGAATCTAGCCCATACATACATAAAACCTGACAGACTTCATTTGCCATAGTGTGAGTGAGCTTATTCCCACAAATACCAACATGGCCAGAAAAACTTATCAGAGATAAATGGTCCAGCCTTTTCTGAATGTTTAAGAGAATTAGGTGAGAACTGACATAATTCACTTCCAGAGCCTTCAAAGAGCTAAGCGAATCAGCGTGACATGCAGGCATATTTTATGTTTTGTACCTACTTTAGTAACATAGCAATTTTTTTTAAATTTCGTTAGAATATTAAAACTAATGATGAAATAAATCTAATGAAGAAAAATAGGTATATATATATTGACTTGTTCTAATTGCTTTTTTCATTGTTCTTTATAGTTGATAATATCTATTCTACCTAGTGGATATTGCTGAAACATATAGCACCTAGGTTGAAAGGATTAGCAATTGTAACATCTTTTGCTGGTCAAATTGACAATATTTGAATGCTAATGCCAACCAATACTATGTGAGAATAAAGGTCATGAGGTGATGCTGTCTACTGAACAAAGAAATTGAGCTTACCTGGTGTATTTAAACACACTTCCTTCGATCAGTTCTACATGTTTTTCATCGTGACTAGTTCAGCAGAGATTCATCTTATGGGATTAAAAGCTAATGAGCTATTCACTAATCCAGTAGAGGTGATTGTTTACTTATCTATGCAGGTACATACACTATATATTTTTAAATTGTGTCTAAAGGAATGATTTTAGATGTAGAAGTACTCACCACAACTACAATGGAGAGTTTAGGGAAACAAGGACAAATAAGAGTCGTAGAAATGAATGAGTTGGCACAGGTCGAGTTTAAGACCACTTGGAGAGGTCTCCACATGGCTTCCACCTACGAGTAAAAGCTAAGACAGTCATCAGTTCATACAACCAACACTTGAAATGAAGTAGCATTCCTTGCTTACTGGGCCATTGTCCAATAACATCCAGCAAAATGTATGGGTTAAATTTTATGACTACTACTCAGTCATCAAAGCTAGGACTATCATTAGGTTGTGCAATCTGATGATTGAAAGGAAGTAACCTTCCTTGCTTTTCAAGCTATCAGGTGATGCACACTATATTGATTCTCACTTGATTAACAGTTAGGATTATCATGTGCTTGATAAAAAAGAACTTGAAAACTGAATTCCACCCAAAATCAGGAGGGTCACATCAAAAAGCCCCTCTACCAGGAAGCTGCAGTAACGTACAACTTCTCATTAAATCATGTAAATATATAGTTGTTTTTATTTATGTTCTACATCTACTCTATTTTTGTTATTTAGTTCAGTGTATGCATGTATATATTTTAATAAAACATTCTGAAGAAAATATGTGACTAGTTATTTTCACTATGGTTTGCTTTTAGTGTATCAGTTTTATGAATATTTGATTTTGTCATTTATTGTAAAAATGGATTGTTAATGTGCTTATCTAGAAGAGTTGTTTAAGTATTTGAACAATTATGTTTTGATTAATGTAAAGGGTCTGCATTGTGTTTTTATTATGTATTTTATAGGAATGGACTTGCTGCTGGCAGACAACATTCACCAGTTAGAACTGTATCCCTAGTAGATGAGATAGTGGACACCCATGAATAGAAGCTAAGACAGTCATTACACACTAGTTGTAGTACCAACTGGAGAAAGAGAAGAATTATCATTTATAAGAGGTACCAAGAAAGTTGTCTCAGCCACTAGAGAAATTAGAATACCTCATAAGTGGAGCTTGGGATCAGGATGCGATCCCCACTGGTGCAAAAATGCCTGCCAGTGGTTTTAGAATACAAAACTTTGAAACATTTGCTGTGATCCACTCAGATAAGGGCAAAGTAATGCAGCCATTTAATATACCTCATGTTCAATGACTGACAGGAATTCTGAAAGTCATCACCATTGAATTCCGTTCTCAAGTGTAGGAGAAGGTTGTTCAATGATGGCATTGATCTTAATGCTAAGAAGTGTGACATTGCAGACATAACTCAGAATGATCTCGCAGATAAAAAAATTACAAATAAAAATGGGTAAGTGGCCACTTAGCCTATATAAAGGGATCTGTAAGATGCTAAACCTCCTTGTGGTATCATAAGACTTCTCAAAATTAAAAAAGAAATTGATTCCTTGAATCAAACAAGACAAACACTAGGAATATTATTCTATTCAAAACTTTACAGAGACAGCTAGTCAAAGCAATGCCTCTTTAATTAGAAGGAATCTTAGGATCTTTTTCAAGCTTAAAAAAAGGGATATTAGTAGCTTGATTGAAAATCCCCATCTGTTAAGGAGAAGCAAAGTGCAACATCTCATAATGAATGTCATCTTACCACTTAATGCACTGCTTGACCAATTTAGATCAATTTTAAGTTACACCAGAGGAAATGGTCGATTATAATCAAACAGATGATTGGACCATAAAGATGGTGGTGTTTTATCAGCCCTTATCAGGTCAAATAAAAAGGGGGATATGTGAATGTGTTTGGATGGCAAGAAAAGCATTCCGTGAGGGTGTTCGTAGTAATCAGAAACCTCTTGACCATCAGTTATAAAATCAGAAGTGTGTGTACTTAGATCTGGTGTTGAGAGAGATACTGGAAATGAACTTAATCCAAAATTCCTTGTGCCTTAGATATCTGATCTTCTGAGCATAAGTATGAGCTTGCTGATAGGCCATGCAGTTGAGAAAAATAGGATATCTGAAGATATCCTAGTCCTGTTTCTGAGCCTTCCCTATAACTGGCAGTCAGGAGTTTGCTATGGCAAAGATGTCAAGGTTTTAAAGATCACAAGAACAGTTGTGAAGACAATACAATCAGTTTAGAATTTTTCACAGTGAAAACTTCTAAGAAAGGCAGTCTATAATGTTTGTGTTTCACAGAGCAGCAGTGTTATTTTTTTATAAATTTCTATGTTCAGACTACAGCTTTTTGACAAAGTCAAAAATATTAATTGACCATAATTTTTAACTTGGTAACTTTTTTTTTAACAGTTTAGACTAAATCATGATCATGTTCGTTACTATTTTAGTTCAGTTAATTTTATTCTCTAATACACAAAATATCTAAAAACTGAATAAAAGATTCCTCAAAACTTCTGAAAATAATTTTTGGATGGGGGTTTTTGTTCCCAGACCTCCTACCAGGGTGCCTCCCTGGACCAGCAAAGGACCTAGGCAGGCCCTCTAATATTTTTTAATATGACAGAGCATCCTATAAACATGACAAAACTAATAATCGTTGCATTAAAAAATGTGGATTTGATCATCATACCCTTTAACGTGACAATGCATCCTACAAACATGATGAAATCAGTTGCCATAAAATGTACAATTTTAGCATTTATGCAAATTATTTCATTTATATAATTTCTGCCAAATCAAAATATTTGCCTTTATGATACAATAGCATTCACAATAGTTATGTTGATTTTTTTGTTAAGCTATCAAATGTAAAAGACATTTCTACTAAACTATGATCAAGGGAAAGCCATTTTAATTCTTATTACACTGATATCAAATACTACACATGAATATAGTATTAAGGCAGGCGAGAATAAATTTTATAAACCCTAATCCTTTTCTGACATTTTTTGTTGGATGACCTAGTTTGAGGGGAAATTAAAATAAGGAGGCAGATGAGGCCAAGTGGCAAACAACTGGAATTCAATTTGCCATATGATAGGATATCAAAAATAATAGCAACATAAAATCCCCTTGGAAGGTGGGGGTAGGAGTGGTAGTCACATGAAAGTATATACCTGAACTGCAACTATATAGTCTTTATAATGTGCTTTAGGCATGTAAAACATTGCTGTTATTCACATTAGTACAAACTAAGTTACAGAATAAATAAAATTACTGATGTGAATTCTTGTTAAACTACTCAAGCCTTCCCAGTAAAAGAAAATTTTATTTCACTAGTAGAACAATATACAAAGGATTAAGATCAGGTTATATGAAAATGATGGTAGATAGATTTTCCAAATCTTTAAAACCAAATATTATCTTTATGCTGCTGCTTAGAGCTGGATGTTCATTTTAGCTTTCATAATTTGGTGGAGGTGGGGGTGGTGGAGGACGCATTCCTCCAGGAGGCATTGCGTGAGGAGGAGGAGGACCTCCTTGGGACCCCATTCCACGTGGTGGTGGTGGTGGTGCAGGTCCTCTGCGTGGAAATGGTGGCCTACTACCTGGGGGAGGTCCTATAAAGATCAAGATTCTTTTTGTAACATGACATATACCTAACCAAGCATAACTTTAAAAACATAAGAATGCATTCTTTAGCTTCCATAATGGTTCATTAAATTACACAGGCCTGCAATGATTTTATTGTGTTGAAATTTTTACATGTTCTACAGTAATTCCTGTACGCTGAATCCGAAAATGATATCCATTTTTCTCCATCACGTACAGATTTTCACAAAATTTCATAAGTATTTTTACATAAGTGAACCATTTTCATTGAAATTGGGTCACATTTTGTTATGCTTAAAATGTTGACAACCACTGGCTATAGATTTCTCTATACCAATCGCGACATGAGAGTCTTATTGATCATTCTAGAACCCAAACATGACAAACATAATAATAAAAAATGTTCATTATCATAAATGAAATAATAATTTGATCTAAGTAAGAGTTTTTCTTCCCGATTTGTAAAAAATCCTTAAGTGCTAGAAAAAAATGAATATTATTTTGAAAATTTGCATAGCTGTTATGGAAAATCTGTTATTAAAACCAAAACAAATTTTATGAAGTTTAACTTCACAGGCCTGTGTTATCTTTGCTGCTTAGATAAACTTTACAATCGGATTTGTGAAATGTTACTGTGGTTAAGTAATGAGTGCAACTAAAAGCTTTCTAAGGTGTCTTGTAAATAAAACAGTTTAGGGGTTGGATCCATCAGATTTCATGTAGAAGTGACTGAAATATCACTCCCTACAAGCAGACATTCTAAATGTTCTCAGTTCATTTTAAGACATTTCAGTTACTAAGACATGGAAGCTATAGTAAATCACATTTCAGCTGAAATTCCCAAAAGGTTAAGAAGTTTTAGTTATCAATTTGCAGAAGTTATGGTAAACTACAGTATAGCTTAAATCTTCAATATATAAGTTTATCTTACCAAATGGTGGAGGTCTAGGTCCAAAATTCATATTTGGAGGTGGTTGTCGCATCCCTGGGGGCACAGGCATACCTGGAGGTGGTCCTAAAGCATAATCAAAATCATATTAAGTTTTGGGAAATAAAATTATTAAACTTTTCATGGAATGATAATTTTCAATAAGTGTGCTATTAAGGTTTCAAGTTTCTATAAATCTGCATAACATGCTCCTTTTAGTACTATTCACATCACCTCATATACTAAAGGATCTTTAGAAAAGCTATGGGGATTCCATATACACTGTTATTTTCTACATAATAATGCAACATACATTAGCCACAGAAATAGTATTTTCCTTAACTTATGATAAATGTTGCTACAAGGAATCCTGATGATTTTAAACGTTTGTATCTTTATATTTTACTTTAAATTTATAACAGAATGTTTGTATGATACTTTTTGTTAAGCATACAGCTACACAATGGATTATTTGTGCTGTGTCCACAAAGTACCTAAACTCAATTTTTAGCATCATAATTCTAGACTTACTGCTGAGCCACTATGGACAAAATACATTTTATTTATGTGTGCGATACAACAGGCTACCTGTACTATGTTTACCACAGGGAATCGAACCCCACAGCTTAGCATTTTAAGTTTGCAAACTTACTGCTGACTGACTGGGGAACTAAAACTTGGTCCATACCAAATATTCAAGCTTGTTATAAAGAATGAGTTACCGAACTGAAATAGATCCTCAGAGCCACTACAACAGATGACATCTTGAACACAAGAACTGGACTGGGAAAACACATATCCAAATATTCAAGCTTGTTATAAAGAATGAGTTACCAAACTGAAACAGATCCTCAGAGCCACTACAACAGATGACATCTTGAACACAAGAAACTGAGCTGGGAAAACGTATTTCCAAATATTCAAGCTTGTTATAAAGAAAGAGTTACCAAACTGAAACAGATCCTCAGTGCCTCTACAGTAGATGAAATTTTGAACATGAGAATGTGGGATCAAATAAATAATTTCCAAATTTTCAAACTTGATATAATTATAAATATACTAAAATTAAAGATATCTTCAAATACATATCTTTGAAATATAAAAAGAGTGAGGACAGCTATCAAGTACAACTGTATAAGGGAAATCGAGTCAATAAAGTCAACATATTCTGATTATCCCTTTACTATCAAAGAGAAAGTAAAGAAGAATGTTACATACACATAAAAGGATTGTCATCATTAACCTACCTTTAGTTAAATTACAGGGTGGAGAAAGTTTTATCACAAGTATATTATTTGGCTAAGTATCTTACAAGGCTCTCTATAATAAATACTTTATACTCTCATATAAGAAAGAATAAAGAATCTTTATAAAGTGACTACACAAATCCAAAAACTAAGGAAGCTAATATCGCTCTTTAAAAGCACTGTTACCCAATGTTAAAATTGGAACACTTTGTTCAAGCTACACAACTTGACAAGACAAATTTTGGAGGATCTGACACATGTTAATGCCTGGTATGTATGTGTATATTCCATTGTTATCCAATGCTAAACTTGGAACATTTTATTCAAGTCACAAAATGTAACAAGAGAAATTATGGAAAACCTGGTACATTTTAATACCTGGTATGTGTGTGGATATTCTACTGTTATCCAATGTTCACTTCAACACAACTTGACAAGAGAAACTTACAAGGATTTTGTTTGTTTGTTTTACTGTTAAGCACAAAACTATAGAAAGGGCCATCTTTGTTGTGACCATCACAAGTAGAAAAATCTAACTTTTGTGTTATAAGCCATGAGACTTGCTTCTGAGCCAATGGAGAGCAACTTGAGAGGAAATAATATGTGTTAATACTTGGTATAAGTGTGGATGTTTCACTTAAGCACAAAACATTGGATGGCTGTACACGAGTCTATACAAGACAACCCGAGAATGCCAGCGTGGTTAGTTTATTATACAGATTTAACTCATATGGGGTCATAGTGACCCACGCTCTTGTTTTAGAGTTATAGATCAGTAGAGCACTTGGAGGAACTGTGTTAGGATCCTGTACAGCTTCCCAGTGTGAGACTAGTTTAATCTATGGAAGCTAAATTTAAGTACAACAGTTGTGAGGACTGTGTACTGCTTCTCCAGTTTAATATATCTATGCAAGATAAAGTTGAGTACAACAGTTGTGAGGATTCATTACAGTTCCCCAATATAATACCTGGTAATACCAAGTTAAAGTTGAATGAGGACTATGTACAGTTTCCTTGGTTCAATACCTGGTATATCTGTGCAAGCTAAAGTTGAGTACAATAGTTGTGACAATTGTGTATAGTCTCCCTCGTTCAATATCTAGTCTATCTATGCATACTAAAGTTGAGTACAACAGTTGTGAGGACTGTGTGAAGGTTGTGTACAGCTTACTCAGTATAATCCTGTTTTAGTTACATAAGCTAAAGGTAGGTAGAACATTTCGGTGCAACGAATCTCGAGGGATATGTTAAAACAAAATTTGATGTACTTGAACAGCTGCTATAAAGTATTGGTTGTAACATGTCATTGTTTGGTTCCATAATATCCTATGATATTGCAATGTAATATCCAAATTTGTTCTTACCCATAGATGGTGGCATTCCAGGGGGTGGTCCTCTTGGAGGAATTGCAGGTCCAGATGTTGGAGGCATTCCAACACCACGGCCCTGCTGTGGAGGCATTGGAGGCTGTGAACTAGTTGGTGGAAGGGGAGGCATAGAAGGAGGTGGTGGTGGTGGAGCCATTCCCCCATAAGAGGACACTGGAGGTGGATGTGGAGGAGGAGGCATACCCGCTGTGACAAAAAAAAACAATTAAAAATATATTAAATTTACACATAAAATGTAATTTGAAGCAATACTATTTATTATAAAATTAACAAAACATAAAATATAAAGTTAATATTTATATAAGCATACAGCTCTCACAACATTAACCATCAGGTGAATCACTATAAATAAGATACGAACCTGATGTTCAAGTTATAGCTAGTCATAAGACTAAAGTGATTCATGATAAACATGATACAAACCCAAGATTTAAGTCAATATTAGTCATAGAACTAAAATGATTCATTATAAGTATGATACAAGCCTGAGGTTCATTGTAAAAATGATATAAACCTTACATCCAAGTTAATGTTAGTCACAGGACTAAAATAGTTCATTATACATATATGAATCTGATGTTGACATAACAGCTAATCACATAACTTAATGGTTTGTACTGCTTCCTGAAAACGAAGTAAAAGTAATTTATTAAAGTTCCACTAATTACCCAGCTCCAGTGAATATATAGTATATATGGGTTACATTAGATTTGTGACAAAGCTTATCATAAACAGAGAAAAGAGTGATAGAGAAAATGATCCCTAACTATAATACCTAGCATCTGGTGTTGTATCTGAAGATTAATAACTATCTTAAGATCTAATGCCTTATCTTGTACTTTTAACTATAAAAGAATAATGATTCAGAGTTTCAATGGTTACTCACTAAATCGCAGGAGTGGTAACTATTGACTGTTAACACACCAAAACTCATTAAATCATGGGGTTGGTACCAAATATTCAAGATCAACACACCACAGCTGACTAAATCCTGGGTTTGGTACAACTATAAAAAATCAACACAATAAAATGTAATATGTTTGTCATGTGTTTATCAGCTTTGATATGAGTGGGTATTATTTCATCAATGTTGAAATTTGGTTTATTTTTATATTAAAAATGTTATTGTAATTAACTAATAATGGCTGGAGACGGCTTGAATGGGTAATGAAGAAAAACTTTAATATAAGTTTAACATAACAGC